GGCTTGTTATTTCATGCGCAGCTCGCCACCCGAAAGTGGCCTATCAGCTTGTGCCACAAATTGCTTTTAAATTTTTATGTTTTCCTTAAATTTCACTGCTGCACCAGATGGAGTACCGACAGCTGTTTTCCTTTTCTCACTTTACTCTGTAGTCTATGATAAACAGTCCTCCATCAAATTTTTCATCACGACAAGTCATGGAGAACACAGGATTTTCACCACCTGAGCTCAATTCAATTATCCTAATGCCCGAGCAGAGACTGCTTATTGGAGTTTAAAGTTAGAAATTTTAATATCCAGTATACTGACATCGTAAACCGCCAAATCATCTGCTGCCCCGCAAATGAGTTTATTCTGCAGAGACATGAAGTTTTCTCGCGTCAGTATTATCTCAAGTCAGTCTCTTAACAAAGAGGCTCCTTCTGTGCAAACCGTGCATTGCGTATCAATTTTTCAACGGCTGATATCCATTGAATCACATTAAAACTTGAGTTCTATAAGTTTCTATAAAAAGTGTTTGTACCTGTCTACATAAAGAAAAAGATCAGGGTAGAGACGGGAGACTTAGGAGAGGGCGTTTAGTTTGTTTTCTTAAAATAAACAAGAGAATAAAAAGTTTAAATATTGATGTCGAACAAAGAACTGCTTAATTGCTTTCTTATTTATCCGTTTTCTTAGAACTCCAACCAGTTCCTAGGGGTAGGATGACTGGGGCAGCTTAACCCGTATGTGCCTTTCATGATTGCTTTGGATTTTACCCCGGCGAAATTCGTATTTCATTTCATATCAGTTACCTCTCCGGCTTATCATGTTATTTTTCATACGACTCGCTAAGACTGTTAAGGAGAAAGAACCACTCTATTTATATTCTACTAAAACCTCGTGGTTTCAGATTTCTCTCTCTAAGAGTGCACGTCGAACATACTTCTGAAATTCACTGTTTTGCCGGTTTTGCGAGAATTTCTGGCCTAACATGAAATGTTGTAAAGTATATATTTCTGGTCTAAGACGATCATGTCATAGTTTAAGTCGCTCAAGAACAGTTGGAAGATTTTTAATGATCTCGTGGTATAAATTGCTTTATCGTAAAGACTGTTTTCACATTATTATCTTGCCCTTTTTTTAACAATCTGATTGTTTGTTGCAGCTTGAGCTTTTAGTATTTGAATTTACTTCCTTTATTTCTACGTTGGTCTTATTGCGATGCAAGTCAGGAAAAGCAGGTCTGATAAAGAGGATTCAACGCAAATTAAAAGCGCTGTAAAATGTCTTAAATTCGTTCAGTATTAGTTCTCCCATCCTTTAGACATAATTCAATACCAAGCGTGATCAACTTTTTCTGTCTCAAGAACATGTAAATGAAAAGCGCCGCTATAATTATCATAATACAGAAAATGCTCGCCCATCTTAACTTGCAAACAGCTGGTTAAGGTGAATGTCGAATCAAGTTAAAACGAAGACTCGAAGCATAACCATTATTTTATACTATTCATTCCTGATATCAAGATATCATTTGAACTGTGTTTTATGTCTGTNAATGTTGTAAAGTATATATTTCTGGTCTAAGACGATCATGTCATAGGTTAAGTCGCTCAAGAACACCTGCGAGATTTTTAATGATCTTGTGTTATAAATTGCCTTGTAGTAAAGATTGTTTTCACATTCTTATTATCTTGCCCTTTTTTTTTTTTACAATTTGATTGTTTGTTGCAGCTTAAGCTTTTAGTATTTGAATTTGCTTCCTTTATTTCTACGTTCGTCTTATTGCAATGCAAGTCAGAAAAGCAGGTCTGATAAAGAGGATTCAACGCAAACTAAAAGCGCTGTAAAATGTCTTAAATTCGTTTAGTATTCAGCTCTCCCATCCTTTAGACATAATTCAATACTAAGTGTGATCAACTTTTTCTGTGTCGCAAGAACACGAAAATGAAAAGCGCCGCTATGATTACCATAATACAGAAAATGCTCGCCCATCTTAACTTGCAAACAGCTGGTTAAGGTAAATGTCGAATCAAGTTAAAACGAAGACTCGAAGCATAACCATTATTTTATACTATTCATT